CCCTTGATGGACTGTCCCCCTTCTTCCCTTTGCCCTCCCTCAACACCCATCTGGTCCTAGGCTGATGGGTTGTGGTGTTGTCGTTACGGATGGCCCTGCACACCATGGGTAGCTGAACCGAGCGGTGACCCAGAGACGTAGCTCTTGGTAGCCCCGGGAATCCCTGGGAAATGAGGGGAATGTCGAGCATAATGCCCTCTTTCTGCCTCCTCCTGGGCACTGCTTGCGGGTTCACAGGGGCTCTCCTCAGCGTCACCCTAGCTGGGTGGTTGTGGAAACTCCTCGTGTTTGGGTGAGGGTATTTCCTGCAGCTCAGTGCTCTCCTTTCTGCCTCCTCCAGGCAGCCTCATCTGTCACTGCAGCTCTGGAGAACTTTGTGAAACCTGAGCGGCTGGACCATGAAAACCGCTTTAAATGCAGCAGGTAGGAAGATGACCAACAACTTCTTAGGACTAGATCGTGCGTGAAGGTGCTGCAAGTCATCTCTTCACATTGCTGCCTTTGATGCACCATAATGAGACGCAGCCTTTGTGTCATATGGCCTTATGTTACTGAATAACCTTCAAATGGCGTAAGGACAGGTCAGCCGTGCAAGGTTATCTGGCCTTCTTGGGCCAAGACAGGGAGCATTTCAGCACTCATCTCTCTGCTTGTTTCAAGGTGTGACAAGTTGGTTGCCGCCTCCAAGAGGTTCACAATCCATCATGCACCCAAAGTTTTCACGGCGTGCCTGCTGAGGTGTGAAGATATCACCAGCAAGAAAAACTGCAAGGTATGTACTCAACTGGAGCACAACTTCCTCTTCCCGGAGCAGGAGATTTCCCAAGGCAGTCAGTGTGTCCTTTCACAAGCTGCTCACGTTGAGCATTTTCTCATGGGGAGAGGAGAGTTCCCATTGGAAGACAAGCACGTACTCTGCTCCGGCAGAGCTGCTTTGGCCAAGAAGAGTTTCCTGACACTCAAAGCATGACATGCTGCTTTAGGGAAAACCAAGTGTTGATGAGCCCCAACGAAGTATTTGTACACCTCTGGCCCCTGGTCTCGCACGGTTATTTCATGGACTGTTTCAGGGTCATTTCTGAGCCCTCTTGGTCTCTCTGTAGTTTGTGGAGTATCCCGAGTACTTGGATCTTCGCCCATACATGTCTCAGACAGCTGGGGAACCGCTGCTCTACTCCTTGTACGCTGTCATGGTTCACCGTGGTGCCTGCTGTCATGAAGGACACTTCTACTGCTACACAAAGGTAAAGAGCAACTGCCTTCCTCACAAGGGAAAAACGTGTGCTGGGGAAGAGAAATTTTCATGGCGGTGTTACTGGCAGCCAAGGTTTTAGGGGAGAAGGTCTCCTTAGGGGCTGGGTTGCATTTGTTGTGATGGACTCTTGGCTCTGTCGTTTTCTGCCTGTGTTTGTGTTGAGAACCCCGCACTTCATCTCCAGGTGTCCATGTCTTGTTTTACAGGCCAGCAATGGACTGTGGTACAAGATGAACGATAGCTCTGTGGAGCGTTGTGACATCAACACAGTTCTCAGGCAGCAAGCCTATTTACTGTTTTACATCAGGTAAAAACAAGTACAAAAATGTTTTCGGAACACGTTTCCTTTTCTTGGCTTTGCTTTTCCTCTTCTGATCCTCCTCCTGTCTCTGTGTTTCTCTTTCTGTCATAGGAGACAATCTCTCCCTGTGTCCTTCAGTGCTGTCAAAACTGAACTACACCATGTCCGTCCTTCTCGTCCCTTGCTGGGCTTTAGGCTGCTGCCCTTGTGCAAACCGCTGCTTGTCTGCCACCTGAGGCTGGCAAACGTAGAGAATAGTACATAAAGGGGGCCTTCAGGAAGGCTGGGGAGGGAGGGACAGGATGAGGGGTAATGGTTTCAAACTGAAAGAGGGGAGACTTCGATTGGCTCAAAGGGAGGCATTTGTCACTGTGAGGGTGGTGAGGCCCTGGCACAGGTTGGATCAGAGCAGCTGTGGCTGCCCCCTCCCTGGAAGGGTTCAAGGCCAGGTTGGACGGGGCTTGGGGCAACCTGGGCTAGAGGAAGGTGTCCCTGCCCATGGGGGGGGTTCTGGAACTAGGCGATCCTTAATGTTCTGTCACATCCAAACCCCCATACCCTTTTATTACGTCTCTAAGATTCGATGAAGGGAGGCTGCTCCAAGAAAATGACTGAACCCTCGAGGAGGCTGCAAGAACAGCCCTAAAAATGAGCTCACTCTTGTTTTCTCCAGGTGCTCTGAATCGCAAGTTGCACAGAGGGCTTATTCCTCACAGACACCATCATATTGCTCTGTGAGGAGGAACCGTGGGACCGAGATTGCTCCAAGCGGTGCCTCTGCTCCTGGAGATAACGCGGTTCCAGTGCCCTCGACCAGGAGAACCCTGTTGGCTCCTACTCCAAGGGCTGCTCAGTTGCGGGTCCCGCCCAGCCAGAGGAAGCGGAGCAGATCCCCGCGGTGGGGTCACGATCTCCACAGACCCAATGTGGAGCTCACAGACCACCACCGCTCTGTGAGGAGGAGCAGGGGGACAACGATTGCTCCAATCGGTACCTCTGCTCCCAGAGATAACGCAGTTCCAGGGCCCTCGACCAGGAGAACCCTGTTGGCTCCCGCTCCCAGGGCTACTTTGGTGCCGGCCCTGCCCAGCCAGAGGGAGCGGAGCAGATCTCCGCGGCGGGGCTACAATCTCCGAAGCCGCTTTGTGGAAGTAACACATCTGCTCTACTAGAGATTGTATTAAGTCTTTTCCCCCAAAAGGCCACTCTTAAGTGTGTTATTGAGTTGTGATTTTGTCATTAGTCTTTCAAGTGCATCTAATTTATGGGAAATAAATCTCTTCAAAAACTTGCTTTAATTAATTTTGGCTACAGTAAAATGGTGGGAAATGTTTATCAATTGTTGCAGCTCTGAGCTGCAGTGCTGTGACTGGTGAGTGATAAGAATAGCACGAACACAAGAGAGAAGAATGGGCAGTGGCAGTGGGACTCTCCCTCTGGCTCGCAGCCAAGGCCTCAGCTCTGTCACCCTGGATCAAGGGCTGCAGTGGGGACAGTCCTAGCAACAACATGCAAGTTCATACACTGCCAGAACACTTTTTTCTGCAGAAAATTTAGAATATGCTAGGAATGGTTACTTGATAGCGAGCAGATGTTGGACCAAGAGCGATGCAGCAGCAGGTTTTATGAACGCAAGATACGTTCAGAATTCTGGCCTCGGACAATCACACCCACTGCTGGTCAAGGCGAGAGGGGTTGCATGGTCTCATC